AAATATTTCCAATAAAAATTAATGTAAAAAAAATTTGAATTAATATTGATTGGGAAAAGAGAATTAAATAAAATAGAATTAGCATATCAAAAGATAAATATATAACTCTCAAATAACCTATGTGTAAAAGCATAATGGAAAGAAGAATGAAAAAATTTTGTTTGTTAATAATGATAGATATAGAACTCTTATGCAATAATTTAGATTGCTTCTTTAGATTTTTTATTAAGATATGAGTACTTCTATTATTGATAATAATTAAGAAAGTCAAAGTTTAATTAAATAAATTATTAAAGTTTTTATTTATAAAGGACTCTTTTTTTTATTAGCCATATTTGAGAAATCGCATGTTTGTAAATTTTGCATCAAATGAGTTACAAAAAAATTCGATAAGATCAAAGGCTTATTTTATGTTAGAAAATTAATTCAAATCAATTAGGCGATTATTTTAAATCTTCAATAAATCATTTTCAATTAATTTAATATTTTTAACAAAAGTAATTAATAAATTTTATAAAAATCATATAACTTAAAATTAATTAAAAATCAAATTAATATATGTATTCTTTATTTTACTTTCTGATTTTTCAAATTAAAAGATGTATTAATATTTTTCATAAAAAATAAAAGTGGTATAAAGGGATATTATTTTTTTAAATTACTTATAAACATCAAATTAAATTATATTTTAACATCTATAAAAGTACAATGAAATCTTTAATTATATAAATAAAATACATAATCTTCAAGAAATTAAAATTAGAAGAGATAGCCTATTAATTTTCAAATAAAAAGATTGGAAAATAAATAGGAAAGCCAGAATTAGTTTGATATTAATTAATCTTTTTAAAAAAAAAACTAAAGAAAAAATATCAAATTTAGAAACGAAATGTTAAACTATATATACTAAAGTCTCAATTTTAAAATCTAAAAAAATAATATCAATAAATTTTAATCTTAATTCATTTATTTTAGAAAACAAATGTCATAAGTTAATAAAAGTAAAAATAAATGTAAATAATTTTAATGAAAATACAACAATAATAGATAGTTTGTTTAAAATTTAGTTTAATAATAATTAAAATAACTTTAATTTTATTTTTAATTTGATAAAATAAATAAGAAAAGAAAAAAAAGTTGTCAAAATAAAGTGCTATATTTTATAAATAATAATTTAATATGAATTAATAAGTTAATCCGACAATTTTCGTTATATAATATTGTAATTTATTATTTTATTAATTTTGTAATTATTTAAAAATAATAATAATAAGATATTGTAAGAATTTAATAATTATTTGGATGGAAAAATCTGAATAACAATAAATTTAAGGCTAAGAATTTAAAATAATAATATATAATTTTTATAAGAAATAATATATTTAATATATTTTAATCTAAAATTATAAACTCATTATATAATAAAAAATAAAATATTACAAAACAAAATAAAAGCTAATAAAGTTGTTAAAAATTATTAAAAGTATATAGAAAAATTATAATAAAATCAAAAATATTTAACAAATTTATTTTGAACCATAAATAAACTATATAATAACTTAAATATATTAAATTTTTTAATAAAACAAATGTATTAATTATAAATTTAATATTAAAGAAATAAATAATTTATATTATGAATTTATTAATTAATAACAATTTTATATTATATTATTTTATATAATTTATATTATTTTATATATTTTGTTTTATTTTAAAACATTATATATAATTATAAATTAAATTTACTGCGTTTTTAAATAAAATATTAATTATACAATTTATTAGTAAATAATACTTAATTTTAGCATTTTATAAAAATATATATTATATATTAATAATAAATTATTAATCATTTCTTCATAAATATATTTATTTTTTAAACAAATTAATAGTAAAAATAAAATAAAATATAAACAATGTTTAAATATCTTTATTGCTTTTTTAATAAAGCAATTAAAATAAAATATATATATACATAAATATATATATATATATATATATATATATATAAATATATATAAATATGTATATATAAATATGTATATATATATATATTCTTTTATATATTTCAAATTAAAAAACTAATAATTATTTTATTATATTTGTATATTTATTTATGATTATCGAAAAATTAGTATTATTACTTATAAAGTATTACAATTTTTGTTTCTTCTAGCTCGATATATCGATAAGTATTTTAATTAAAATCAATTTAGAAACATAAAATTTTTGTAATTAATTATGATTTAAGGTAACATTAAACATTATATAATTAAAAGATAAATAAATGATTATGTTCTAATATTAAAATATATTTTTAATTTATTAAATACTATATATACATAATATTTTTTTTTCTGAATAAATATTAATTTTTAATTTATACTTAAAATTCTTCACATACAATTTTTTTTTAATTATAATAATTTATAAGCACAAATACATATATATATAATTCCTAAAAAAATAATACAAAAAGAAAATATGAAATAATAGGATAATCATAATTTCATTTTAAATTCATAAAATCTATAGCAAGAAAAGCCTGAAATACCCTTAAGTATGAATTAAATATTTAACAGTTGGCCATTTGCAAATGATTTATTAAGTAATTAATTCCTTTCATAGTATGAAATAGAAAATATGTAAAAAATATAAAAAGATTAATATGAAAATAGTGAACTTTCTTGCATAGAGGATTAAATAGGAGATTAATAATAACAAAAAAGCAACATTAATGGTAAAAGTAAAAGCCCTAAACAGGAAAATAGCCAAAAATAATATTCATATGCAAGTTATAGTCTAAGTTAAGATTATTCTGCTATAATAAGTATGATAAACAACCATAAGTATGATGAATTTGAACATTATTTATCATAAAATTCAATAGACATAGCAATAATAAAAAATCACGAATAAAATAACATATTAATGATAGCAATATAAAATAACAAAGAAAGTCTCTAGAATTTATTAGAAAGTGCAAGAAAATATTATATTAAATAAGGTTATAATAATATCTAAATAGAAAAAAACATACAAAAATGGGTAAACCAAAAAAACAGGTAAGGAAATTCAGCGATTCATTATGCTTCTTACGTGGGAGATATAAGAACATTAAAATTATTATAAAAAGCTGGAGCAGATTTGAAAGTTAAAAATAAAGACGAGCAAACTTGCTTACATTTATCAGCTTAAGGAGAAAATGTTTAATCTTTAATTTTTTCCTTAAAAATGGAATTGAAATTAGCGCAGTAGATAATAAATAGGCTACTGCTTTACACTGGGCTTGCTTTCAAGGAAATTATTAAGTTATTTAATATTTAATTGCATAAAAAGCAAAAATTAATGAATAAGATTGCGAAGGAATGACACCACTTATGCTTTCTGTTATTAATGGAAGTCTTAGAGTAGTTAAATATTTATTATTGCAAGGAGCAGATAAAATGATAAAAGATAAAAAAGGAAGAACTGCTTTAGATTTGGCATTAGAAGAAGACTTTTAAAATAGCGAAATTACGGATGTTTTAAAAGAAAAGAAAAGAATATTGGAATATTTTGATGTGAAATAATAATTAAAACCAAAATAGAAAAATCTAAAAATGTTGATATTTTTTTTAGGCATGTTTTTTTTTTGCAATTTTTCGACCATTTTATTTTCTTTAAATTTTAATTTGTAAAGGAAAATTCATTTTTTTTAATTTATTTTATTTGTGGTAATTTCTTGTTTTTCCTTTATATTTTTTTTAATTGTTTGGTTAAAAAATCCAGGATATTTAAATTTTAAAATAAAAGAAAGTGAAAAAATTGATGAGTTATTTAAACTTGTACAAGTTGAAGAACCATAAAACGTATGCCCTTAATGCTGTATTGTTAAACCTGAAAGGTCTAAACATTGTGAAATTTGTAAAAAATGTGTTTCCGTATTTGATCATCATTGTCCTTGGATTAATAATTGTGTAGGAAGTGATAATCATAGCTTTTTCTTGTTTTTTATATGTTTTAATTTTGTTGATTTAGTTTTTTGTTTAACCATTAATATTTATTCGGTTTATTAACATGATAAACTTGATTATATTTTAATTCCTTTAGAAGATTTTAAATAAAAAAATCTACTTTTATATTTCTTTTAAATCTCTTGTATTGGGTTTTGTGGAGTATTTTTAGTCCCTTTAGCACTTCTTTGTAAAATTTAATTCTAAAACTTTTTTTTGGATAAAACTACCTATGAAAGGTTTAATTATTATTCTAACAATTTATAGAGATATAATAAATAAAATGCTATTAATAATAATGATAGTTTGGTTAATAGCAACAGCAACTTTGTTTCGGATTAAGATAACTTTGTCAAAAATAATTATCTTTAAGATAGTTTTTTAAAGGGGAATTTGCTAAAAAAATCTGCTTTTTAAAATGTTTATAATATGTGTTATCTAAATTAATATAATTTAAAATATAAATAGAAAGTTATTAGAAATTTAGAAGAAACTACTATATGAATTATCAAATTTTATATTTTATTTTTATTTTTATTTATTCATGTTAATAAATATAAATAAAAAATTTATTATGTATTGTATTGTAAAGTTAGAATTTTATCATTGAATTAAATGTTTTATCCTATTGTATTTATTTATATATGATTTAATTTATATATAAAAATAATAACTAAAAAATATTTTAGATATTTATAAAAAAAATATGTGAAATCATAAGCTGAGATCATAATGTTATTTTAATAATATTAGATTAACTAAAATTTCAAGTTATAATTAAAAAAAAAAAATCTTCCGAAATAAAATATAAAATTTTATTTAATTTTTTAATTTAATACATATAAATTGAATAATAATATAAAAGGGATGAATTTATTTAATTTGTAGAAAAAATTTGATAAATATTAATTTTAATTTTTTTAAAGTTAATTTAAAAGTAATTATTATAATTATTATTTTAAATATATATAGAAAATTGTATAAAGTATATTTTATATTTTTTAAATACAAAAAAATAATATATATGCTATTTTTTTATATCTAATTATTGCAGAAAAAATATTCAATGATTGTGTTAACTATTAGGCCTCATTGGATGTAAACCACCTGCAATTGCAGAATATCTTCTCGACATACTTTAAGGATCTCTATTTCCTTTTAAACCTAGTATTCTAGAATGACTACTTAAAGGATTAATTTTATTTCTTCCCAATTCAACACACTTTTCTTCACTAATAAATTTCAAAAAGAAAGACTAAATTAAACTTAAAGAACCGAATCCAAAGCAAATCATCCATTATTAAATAGTTAATCCATATTTATAGCACCTAAACGTTTTACCACTAAACTCAATAATAATTACTTGAGCAAAAATAATAAAGCCAATTATACAAGGGAAAAATAGATTATTTGTAATTCCTGAAAATATATTAATTTCATCCCTTTTATTTTATTTAAAAATAAAAAATAATAATTTTAAAAAAATTACTAAAGTTTTCTTGCATTTAAGAAATTAAAAATTTACATAAAGACAAATACATTAAATACAAATGTAAAATGCCTAGAATAAATTCCATAAGCATCATAAACAAGAAGATATTCTTTTTACTTTCCGTCAATTGATCTTTCTCTTCCTGATCTTATATATTATTTCGATTGATCGGAATATTTAGCAAGATACCATTAAACACCGAAGTTTGAAACTTTATTACTTCTTATTTCACTATCAAAATCATCGGGATATTCTGGAAGGAAATTTTCTCCCTTGAAAACCAAGATCATCAAAATCGTGAATTAAAATATAGCTTATCCAATGATATGTTTGAACATCCTTTTATTTATAATATATTCATCTCTATTATGTGGTTTTCTTAATAATAACTCTTCTGTAGGAGGCTCTGTTGCTAATGCTAAAGAAGCAAAAGTGTCCATAATTAAATTTATCCTTTTTTTAAAATACTTAATATTTATATATATTAATTTAACTTTTACCATAACATTTATATAGGGACTAATATTTCCATCTTCAAGACTGCTGCACCAACTAAAGTGATAATAACAGCCACAACATTTACAGTTAATTAAAATTACAAGAATTTTTTTATACAATCGTAAATATTTCTACCCCACATGACTGCAGCCACAATACTTTTAAAATTATCATCTAAAAGAATAATCGCTGCTGCTTCTCTCGCTACTTCTGTACCTGCAATACCCATCGCAAAACCTACATCTGCTCTTTTTAAAGCCGGGGCATCGTTTGTACCATCTCCTGTAACTGCAACTACATGATTTCTTTCTATAAGTCCTACTACCATCGCATATTTGTCCTCAGGACGAGACCTAGCCATAACATCGATTTATTTGTAGATTGAATCAAATACTTCTGTATTTTTAATTACATCTACTCTTACAGTCTTTTACTCTTTTTCGGCTATCTCCGAATCTCTTGGACATGGACATTCGGATGTTCTACATATTTTACAAACAACCCCTCCTGTTAATTTTATAAATTCTACTCCTTCTATTACTTGATATTTATTATCTTTTCGAGTTAAATCTAATATATTACAATCTTTAGCAATTGCTCTAGCTGTATCTTTATTATCTCCTGTAATCATCCTAACTTTTATACCTGCTTATTAACCTTTTTATTTTTTTAAATATTTTTTTTTTTTTAAATATAACATGTTTTAACAGCTCCAGGTACTTCTTCTCTCAGAATATCTTTAATACCGAAAATTGCACAAAGAGTAAGTCCTTTTGTTTCTATATCGAAAACACCTAAACGGTCTTTACTAGTTATATCTTCATCATCACGGATATCTTTATAAGCCAAAACAATTGTCCTAAGAGCATTATCAGCCATTTTTTTGATAGCTTCTTTCATTGTATTTAGCAAAGCTTCATCAATAGGTCTTACTTATCCTGACTTTTTAGAAATAAAATGCGAACAAGCTGCAAGAACAAGTTCTGAAGCACCTTTTTAGAGAAGTCTTTTTTTGCCATTAATATTAAGGATAATACCCATTCTTTTTCTTGCAGATGAGAAGGGAAATTTAGATACAACTTCATATCTTTCTCGCCATTTTTCGTACTTTTCTCCGAATTTCTCAAGTAACAAAAGTACAGCGATTTCCGTCTTCGAGCCTTTTTAATCTGGTCTTAAATCTGCGCTGGAATTAATTGCACAGGATTAAATGAAAAGCTCTTAAAAATCTTTTAATTTATCTGGAATATATTCGTTAAGATTAACTTTTTCTTTATATTTTTCAAATTCTTATAATTCTTCATTCCACCAAGTAGTTAATGTCATCTTATTTTATGTTAAAGTTCCTGTTTTATCTGAACATATACAATCCGCTCCTCCCATAGTTTCACAAGCCTGCAATTTTCTGACTAAATTTTTATCATTTAGCATTTTCTTTACTGAATATGCTAATGATAATGTTACTGCTAATGGAAGTCCTTCTGGAATTGCTACAACTACTACTGTTATTCCTATTAAAATAAATTATAATATTTATCCCCAATGTTCTTCATGATTCCATAAGTTTTCTTCTATTCTTTCAGCCGCTAAACGTATTAAAAGTACTAACATTATTATTATTGATGAATATAAACCGAAATTCCCAATATCTCTTGCTATACATTCTAACTTTTCTTATAATGGAGTAGCTTCTGCATCTTTTTGTTATAATAATTTTGAAATTTTACCTACACAACTAAAATCTCCTACTACAACTATTAATAATTTTCCTTCTCCAGTTAAAATCTTTATTAATATCAATTTTCATAAATTAAAAATATATTATTACTTTTGTTCCTGATAATATAAGAGGTGAAGGTACATCATGTGCTCCTGAAGTATTTTTTTCTCCTTATTAAATTAAATGATTTCTTTTTTATATACATTCACTTAATACTTATTTTTTTACAGGATCTATTTATATTTTAATAAATATAAAATAATTAAAATATAGAAAAAAGACCTGTTTCTCCTGTCATTGCTGATTCATCTAATGTAAGTTCTGAAGCTTCAAGAACAATTCCATCTGCTGGAATTTCCATACCTTCTGTGAGTTCTGCAACATCACCTACTAAAACTTTAGACATATGCACAGTTTATTTAATTCCATTTCTAATAATAGTAACCATTTTTCGATCTTCAGCAACTTTGTTAAGGCCTTAAAATTATCTTTCTTTTTAATAATCATTAATAGCAGTAACAGTACAACATACACAAACAGCTACTAAAATAGCGAATCCTTCAATCCAAGCAGTTGGCCTTTTTTCTGGTTTTGAGGTCCCGACTTCAATAGCAATAGAAACTAAAGCAGCTACTATTAAAATTTTCATTGTAAAATCATCCATAGCACTGAAAAAAAGTTCAAAAAATCCTTTAGGTTTTGAAATTTGTTTCATGTTATGTCCAAAAGCTTAAATTCTAATATTATTATCATCTTCATTTATTCCTTTCTTGAAATTGGTCTTTAAAGCATTTTCTAATATATCGGTTCCTCCTATTTTCTCTAAAATATCTACTTCTTCAGAAAAACGTCTTTCTTAACAGGCTGAAGCTATCTAATTAATTAATTTCGAGATATTGAAAATGGATGAATAGGATTATCGAATTCTTTGTTTAAATCTTCTTCTTATTTATGCTAGTTTTCACCATTATGAATATTATCTTCATGATGAACTTAATTCTTTTAAAAATTTTATTTATTGTTTAATTAATGTTAATCAGGATTTTATTAATTATCTTAATATTATTATTATTATTATTATTATTATTATTATTATTATTATTTTAGTTATTATTGTTATCTTTATTATTGTAGTTATTATTGTTGTTATTATTGTTGTTATTATTGTTGTTATTGTTGTTGTTATTATAATAGTTATTATTCATATAGTTCTTTTTTTTTTCTTATTCTTTTTATAATTTTTCTTATTATTATTTTTTTTCTAATTCATTTTAAATTTATTTTTCCTATAAAATTTACTATTAACGTTTTTATTCCTCTTATTATTATTATTAAATTTATTAAAGCATTTGTTTTTTTATCTCCTGAGAAGTTGCTTTATTTAAATTATTTTTTACTTTTTCTTATTCTTATTATTCATATTTTAATAATGGTTTAGAAGGAGATTGCTCACTTTCTTCTCTAATTTTTTCTTTATTATCTATATTATTGTTCGTTTATTGATTATTCTTTAAATAATTTACACTTCCTATGTTTTCATTAAAATCATCTACTTATGGGACACTTCCCTTATTTTATTCGAAATTATAAGGATACTCTGTTCTTAAATTTTATTAGCTTTTAGAGTTGCTATTTACTATTTCATCATTAGGCTCTAAAAGTTCAAGATCTCTTTTTACATATGGAGGTGTTTCGAAATCTTCTTGAATCATATATACTTTATTATTTTTTATTTTTAATGTAAATATATATTATATTAATATATGTTATTTTTTTAATTAAATTTATTTATACGATTTTTTTTACTTTTTACTTTTAATTTTTATTTCTTTATATTTTTATCAAAATATTTTTTATATATTAACTGTGTAATTTATTTATGCTTATTTATATTTAAATATTTTATTTTTAGAATGCCAAAAAAATAGTATTATTTTTTTCTTATTTTTCAAATAAAATAAATTATAAAATTAGATTAATATATGCTTTATATACTATTTTTAAATAATAAATAATTCATATTTTTATTATAAATAGATTATCAATAATTTTGATATTTGAATTATAATTTAAAATTAAATAAATTTTATAAAATATTAAAAAAAATATAACTTATTTTACATTTTATATAAATATTTTTTATTTTTTTAAATAAAAAAATAAATATTTAATATTATTTATTTTGAATTTTAATTTATTAAAAATATATTATATATTTTATGGTTATAATTATTATAATATAAGAATAATTCATATTTATAAACATTATATTTCTAATAAAGTAAAATTATTATTATATATATTAAATTCTATAAAATAATATTTATTTAATAAAATTATTGAATTTGAAAAAATTTAAACAAAAATATTTAGTTTTAAAAAATAATTTATAAAATTCATAAAATTTTTTTTTATTAAAAAAAGATGTAATATAATATTTTAATAAAATTAAATTATAAACATAAACTTAATATTTTATTTTTTTCAAGTATAAAATGTAAAAATTATATAAATATAATTTACATATTTATTTTTTTAATTTAAAAACATTTTAAATATAATTATTATTATTTATTTTAAAATAATTATTCTATTTTTTTATTTATTAATTACAAAAATTTAATTTTTATAATGTTATTCAAATATATTTACTTAATTTATATACAAAATTTTTTTTTTTTTTTAAATTATTATTTTTTTAGTTACTAAATATAATTAATTAAAATTATATTTATATTTATAATATAAAATTATTATAATATATATTAATTTAATATTAATGATTATTATTTTTATTTTTAAAAGAGTATGATATATATACTTAATTTTGAAATATTTTTAATCTCTATTATAAAATTAATATATATGTTTATACGGAAAGAAAACTCTCATGAATTTATTAACTTAATTGAATGATTTTAAAAGATATAAACTTAAACAAATATAAGAAATCTGAAAATTTTTATTATTTTTAATATTTCTAAATTTTTTATATTAATCATATATAATTTATTATTTATAATCATTAAGTATTTAATTTTTCAAGTATTTGTTTATTTTATAAAATATATTTTTACTTGCTTAGATTTAGAATTGGAATTGAGTTTAAGTGCTAAGATTATTAATTAATAATTCTAATTTATGAATAGAAAATAAATAAATAAAATAATAAACTAAAATAAATCTATTTTATAATACTTAATTAATGAAGATAATTTAATATTTCTTTAAAAATAAATAAATTATTATTTTTTTGATTGTTAAAGAATTTTTATTTTTTTTATAAAAATAATAAAATCATTTTTAAATTTTTTTTTAAATTTTAAACATTTGTAATTAAAATCAAAATATGAAATTTTTAGTCTAAAAATTGTAAAACTTAAATAAATTAAGTATAATATAAAAAAAAATGATTTATTATTTAATCATATTTTGGAATTTTATTTATATATATTATCTTTGATTCTTTTATTAAGTTTTAATAAAAATTTACTATCCTAAATCAAAAAAAGGTAAGATACGATATGTTTTCTTAAAGTTTTATAAAAAATTAATTGTTTTTTGGTTTGTTTTGCCATCTAGGAAATAAAAATAGATTTTTTATGGCACATTAAAAAATAATATTGGGAAATATCTGAATTATTTAAGATTACTTTACCATATAGAATAAAATCTAATTTTATTTTAAAAATAAAGATAATAATAAAAATAAATTATAATTAATAGTGAGATTATGAAATAAAAATATATAAAAGTAACTACTAATTTTCAAAGTATTATTAATTAAATATAATCTAATTTATAATTTTTTAAGATCTCTACATCATTTTCATGATTTTATTCCTCCTTTATAGTTTGAATTTATCACACCACATATCTTTAAAAAAAATTAAAAAAAAAATTGTTGTAAAAGAACTATATAAATTTAAGAGAAATTTAGTTTTTTTTATTATTTTAATAATAAATTAATTTAATTTATATAAAATGCTTTTTATAATTATTAATAAAAAAAAAAATTAAAATTTTGAAAAAACCTTTTAAAACAACAAATTTATTAAGAATTTAAATTTATGAAATTTTCTTGATTATAAATTAAAAATTTGATTTTTTTCCTTTTAAATAATAAGATATAAATATGATTTTTTTTCTTTTTAAATAGATATAAATATGATTTTTTTTTTTTTAAATATCTAAATATATTTAATATAATTTTTTATATCATTCATAACTATATATGCTTTAATAACGAATAAATTAAACGTTAATATTTATTTTCCAAAAAGTTAAGAAAAAAAGCGTATAATATTTTAAAGTTTAGATAACAAATATTATATTAAATATAAAAAATATATTTCATATATAATATATATTTATATAATTTAATTTTTTTATTATTTTTTTATTAATTATACTAAAAAAAAACTATTTGCAAAATAAAAATGACAAACAAATTAATTAATTCCACTTTTTGCAAAAAATTTAAATTAATAAATAAATTAGGTAACGAAAATTCCATTACTTTTATATATATATCATAGAAGCTTTTACTTTAAATCTGTATATTAATAATTAAAATGAAATAAATCGATAAATTTAATGGATTAAAATTATTTTTTAAATTGGAAAAATCAATAATTTTAAATAAACAAAAAAATAACTAATAATAATATATTATTAATCAAAAAAAAATTATATCAATATTTATATATATTAATTATTTCTTGAACTTAAAAATAATAATAAAAATTTTATAGGTAGTGGAGCATTTGGTGAAATATATTTAACATTAAATATATCTGATGATGAAGAGTATGCTGCAAAATTAGAAGATGCATCAACAAAATATCCATAATTATAATTTGAGTCAAAATTATATAATTACTTGAATCAGAAAAATGTAATAGGATTTCCTTATGTTTATTTTTATGGTTAAGATTAAGGATATAATATAATGATAATGGATAAACTTGGAAATTCATTAGAAGCTTTATTAACGAAAAATAATGGGAAATTTACATTAAAAACAGTATTAATGTTAGCAGAATAAATGATAACACGGATAGAATATATACATTCTAGAAATTTTCTACATAGAGACATTAAGCCAGATAATTTTTTAATGGGATGGCAAAAACAAAATATTGTTTATATAATAGATTTAGGTTTAGCTAAAAGATATGTTGATAAATAAGGAAAACATATTCCTTATAAAGATAATAAATAACTTACTGGAACTGCTAGATATGCTTCTATTAATACTCATATAGGTATTGAATAAGGAAGAAGAGATGACTTGGAAAGCTTAGGTTATGTTTTAATTTATTTTTTGAAAGGGTCATTACCTTGGTAAGGTTTATAATGTACAGGGAAGTAAGACAAATATGAGAAAATAAAGGAAAAAAAATGAATACTTCCTTAGAAAAATTATGCAAAGATTTACCTACAGAGTTCATTATTTATTTATAATATTGCAAAAACCTTAAATTTGAGGAAAAACCAGATTATGAGCATTGTAAAAAAATTTTTAGGTCTATTATGAGGTAATTTTTTTATGAATATGATTTTTAATGGGATTGGAAGAAATAAAATACTATGGTTTTTTCTTAAAATAATAATGAAAAAAATTTAAATAAATAATTTATGGGAACTGGATAGTTTTAATAAACTTAATAAGATGCTTTCTTATATGAGGATTATAAAAAATAAAGTCCTGAAGATGATTAAATTAATAAGTATTTGATTAAAAAATTTGAAAATAATGAAAAAAAAACACTTAATAATAATAATTCTTTCAATAATAATTCTAATAATTTTAAAGCAATTAAAATAAAAACTAAAATCACAATAATAGAAATAACCTTTATAGATTATCTTATGGAAAAATCGGATCCTCTATTCTAGGTAATGTTCCGAATGTATATAATGAACCTAAAATAGCTCTTAATAAACCAACTAAATGATAAAATAATTAAAATAAAAGAAATATTTAAAATAATTGGTTTTTTTTATTTTATTTTATTTTTTGTAATCTGTTGTTAATTTTATATATATATTGCATTTTTTTGAACTTTTTATTTTTATTAAAAATATATAAAAAAATTTTCAAACAAAATATAAATAAAAATCTTTTAATAATATATATATATATATATATATAATTTCTAATATTTATAATAAATTTTTCATGTTTAATAAAATTAAAAATATTTATTTTAATTCAAAAATAATAAATACAATTATTAAGTTATTTAAACATATTAATATTTTTAAAAATTACCATTTTATTATGTAAATAAGATTACGCTTCGAGTGTTTTAGTACGATTGTGATTTCAAATTAAATTAAATTTTAATCAAAGATTGATTTAATATAATAACTTAATAAAAGTAGAAAAAAATTATATAAAAAATATAATATCATTTAAAATTTTTATTTACTTTTAACAATCTTTTTGTTAAACAATTCTTGATATTATTGTAAACGTGAGCTTCTATATTATCTATCATATTACTTATATTAAAATCCAAAAAAAATATTTAAAATATACTTTAAAGAAATATACTATTTAGATGCAATAATTTCTTGTAAATACTTTCTTCAAAAACTTATATTAAACAATAAAATTAACAATTTATACGTCATATTTTTTTCAAAAATCAGTATAAATATATATACAAGTATTTTTTAAATATATAATTGTAATATTCACATAAATCATAATTAATTGTAAATATATTTATTTTTATATTATAATGTTTATTTTATATTTTTTTTTAATTTAATTAATTAATTTTGATAATTACATAATATAAATAAAAAAATAACAAAAACATTATTTATTTATATTTTTGAAAAATAATTATATTAAAATTTCTAAGGTCTTTAAATAAATAAAAATTTACTATTGTAAAGAGTAAATATACATTTTATTTAAAATATGAATGTTATTAAAATTAATTGAAATTTATCTTTTTATTTATTATTTTAATTATATTTTTATTAATTATTTAAATAAATAGTCTATTTAAAAAATAATTTATATAATTTTTTTTTTATACATTTTATTTTTTTTTCATTTAGAATTTGTTTATTTTTATATTCTTTTCAAATTTTATTCAAAAAATTTTTTTTAAACATTTTAACGATTATCTTTTCTTTTATTATTCTTTGTATTTTCTTTTATTTCTTCAATTATTTCATAGCATTCTCTTTTTTTAGATTTATTTATTGCCTTTATAACACTTATTAATTTACCTTGAATAGAAAAATAATATATATGTATTTATAATATTAAAAAAAAAATACTCTTCTGATATTTCAAATATCATCTATTAAACTTAATGATTTTACTTATTATAAATAAATAATTAATTAAGATATTTTTATTTAAGAAGATTATAATTTTAGTCGATTTGATTTCAGTCGGTTTTTTAATTTTTTCTATAAATTAGAAAATTCAAAAGTTTGTAAATAAAACATTAGTATTATTTTATTAATTTTTTAAAACTTTTAATGGTACAGTTATTCCTTTTGTTAAAACTTTTTAAGAATATTAGAATGTAAAAATTTTAGTTAGTGTTTTTATTTTAAAAAAAGGTTATAAGTAAAATCACTTTATATCACAAAAGAAATTATAAATATTTCTTAAGTCTCAAATCACATAAGAGGTGCATTAATAATTTTATTTATGGATATCAGAACTTTTTAATATTTTTTTTTAGTATGAATTTAAATAATACGATAATACATAGTGTAAATAATTAATAAATTATTTATAATATAAAAATAAAATTTACATTATATATTTATAATTTATTTTCATATAAATCAATTCAAATATTTATTTTCAATTAAAAATATTTAATTCATTTAAATATCATATATATTTTTATTGTCTCTTTTTCTAAAAACAAACTTGATTTTGATAATATAAAATCTATTCAAACATATTTTAAAAATTAATATTTAAATATATATATATATATATATATATATAAAATGAATAACTCATCAAATTAAACTAGATTTGAACATAATTTTAGGAGAAAAAATGATTATAAAATAGTTTATAGTTTTCAATTTGTAACTTTTACTTAGGCTTTTTCATTTGTCATAAATGAAATTAATAGAAAACCCGTAAATAATTATTTATTTCAAAACAAACATACAAATTAATTGGATATAGTAAATTCTTAATATAAAATATAAGAAAAAACTACGTATAATTAAATAAATAATATTTATAATATAATAAAGAGCAAAAATAAAAATAAAATAACTATTTACTTAAATAATTTAAATTAGATATTAAAACTATTTATTAATTATTAGGAATTTTCATAAATAAAAATTATTAAAAAATTGAAACTAATATATAAAGAATCAAAATAAAATAACCTTTAACTTTTACTTATATATTTAATAAATTAAAGGAAAAATATTTAATATATAAAAGCATTAATATTCTATTTTTATAATGAAATAATAATTAAAATGCTGAAAAGAATAAATATAGTATAGAATAAATATAATAAATAAATAAACATAAATATTCTAATTTAAACAAATAATGAAAGAAAACTAAATATAAATGAAGAAAAAAATAAAATTAAATAGTTAAATAGGATATTTAATTAGTAACTAATGTAATATTATTTATATTGATAAAAAATTACAACCTATAGAAAGATATAATTTAAAAAGAAAAAAATATTATTAATGTATCAATAAAGTAAGATAGGATCTTTTAATATTAGCTATTACTAAACATTAATATATTGCTTATATAATTTTTATGTGTTCCATAAAATAATAATAGGATATTTCATATTCTATAACTAAAATTGTTTCTAGCTTTAATGAAAAAAAAAATTTTAAAAAAACCTTTTTCTATATGAATAACACAAGTATTCATAATACGAAAAGTGTAAATACTTTGTTTATAAGAATAAAAGTATTTTAAGAAGCACGTTACTATAGTTAATTCAATATTATTGAAAAAGTAAAATGTAATATAAAAATATAATATATTTAAAATAGAAAATAATAAATATAATTTATGAAGCGTCTAAATAAATAATTTAAAAAGATATAAAAAATAATATAAGTATATGTTAAAGTTTTAAATAATATTTATATATAAATGTTTAAAAAATAAAAATAATTTAAAAAAATTAAATAGATAAAATATATATATATTTCTAATAAATAAATAATATATATTTATATATATAAATAAATATTAATATTTATTTATATAAATTTCTAATTATTTATATATATTCATATATAAAATCAAAAAATATAAATAAAAATACTAATAAAATATTAAAAAATATTTTTATAAAATATATAAATAATCAAATAATATAATTATTTTATAAGATTATCAGTTTGTTATAACTAAAGCTCTATCCTAATTAAGAATTAAACTACTTTAATTAATTTTTTTTAGATTATTATTATTTTTAGTCTCTTGTATATTTTATTTCTCTTTTATTTTTCTAAAATTTGATATCAATTTAAAAATTAGTTTTATAATTTTGTATATGTAAAAAACATCTATATTGTATTATATATTTATATTTGGTTAATAGATAGTCTTAAAAACAATTTTTATTCTACTGTTCTTTATATTTAAGAATTTATTTTATATAATTTTATACTTCCATTTTCATTTAAATATATTTATGTTAATTTAAACATGAATTTATAAGAATTTTTCTATAATCATGTCTTTTAAATTCAAATTTTTATTAAAAATAATTAAATTTTTATTTCTTATTATTATTATTATTAAATATTATTATTACAAAGATAAAATGTGTTTTTTTATTTTTAAGGTTTTTCTAAAAATAATAAATTATTTATTCTTTCTATTTTATATATTTGATTTATTAATATCTTATTTATTTATATGAGCTCTAGTGAAAAAAAAAAAAAATATGAAATTATATTTTTTTTTATTACCCTTAGATATATTAGAGGGAAAATACTAAAATAAATTAAAAAAATTTTAATAAATACGTTTATTTTAGTTAAATACGCATTTTATGCATTATATAAATATTTTACTAAAATATATATATATATTTATATATATAAATATTATATATATTATAAATAAAAAAAAGGATATCATTTTCATTCTTATATATCCATACTCTAATTGTCGACATATTAATTCAAAATCTAATATAAAGGATTATTTTTTAACATATTTTTATTTTAAAGGATATTTTAATTATTTAATTCTATTTAGGCTTATTATATAAATTATATTTATTCTTATAAAGGTGAAAAGTTTCTTTCTGATTTTTCTGTAAGTTTATATATTTGCCAATCATATTTTATCAACTAAGATAAGTCTTTAATACTTCTTTTAGGAAACTTTTATTTATAATATTTAAGTTTTTCATTATAGAAAAACCTATATAGTAAAAATTTTCCATTATTTTTATTTTTTATTTCTTAAATTATTTACTAATTTTAAATATTATTTAATTAATTTATTTTCGGTGAATTATCTTTTTCTTTTTTATCATCCTCTATTAAGTCCTTTTTTCTAACTCTTCTTTTTATGTTTATTAAGGACTTTTTTATTCTTTGCTTACACTTTCTTTCAATTTCTTTCCACTTTCTTAATCATTAGAACTTTCTTCTTTTTTTGAGGACTTTTTAAATCTTTTATAGGACTTTATAATTCTTTTAAAGGACTTTTTTATTCTTTTTAAGGACTTTTTTATTATTTTAAAGAACTTATTTATTCATTTAAAGGGCTTTTTTATTCATTTAAAGGGCTTTTTTATTCATTTAGAGTACCTTTTTATTACTTTAATGTATTTTTTTATTCTTCTTAAGGGCTTTTCAGAATGGTATTTTAAGAATTATTTAATGCTTTTTTCGGACTTTTTACATATTTTTGACGAGTTTTGGAGCGTTTTTATTGATTTTTCAAATTTTTTGGAGGGCTTTTTTACTTAGTAAGAATTTCTTATTATATTAAAGAATTATTCAAAGATTATAATTTACTTTTAGTTTATTTTGTATTATTTTATATTTATTTTAAATTATATTATTTTGGACTTTTTTCTTTTTTCGAAGAACTTCTAGACTTTCTGAAAGGACTAATAGGATCAGTTTGTATTTGTATGGAAACTTTGGCTGTATTTCGAGAATTACTTCTTGTCCTGGATAATTGATTTTGATTTTTTTATTAAAGGCTTTTTTAAGGACTTTTTGAAAAACATTTGTTTTTGGAAGATTATCTTGAAACACTTTTAAGAGATTTTTCTTCACTTTTTTCTATACTTTTTTATGATTTTCTTACATATTATGATTTTTTAGGATTTTTTGAGGTTTATAAATTAATATTTGAAGATTTAGGCTATTTTTCTTTTGGTATTTTTTCAAGTAATTATTATTTTTTCTATTAAAATTATTATTTTATAGTTAGAGGTTTTTACTTGGGTTATTTATCAGTATTTTCTAAAGCATTAGTAGTTTTTCGAAGTTATTTTTTTATTTCTTTTTATTTTTTTATAAGAGATTTTTCAGTCTTTTCATCAGTATTAGAATTGTCGCGGCGTTCTAACTTTTGTTTTTGAATTAATGGAGAAGAAGTTAGAGAAGTATTCTTTTTAGAATTTTTCGAAGGGCTTTTTTAAAATAATTTGATTTTTTAAATTTTATTGTTAGGTTTTTAAACAGATTTCTAAATACTTTTAATGGTCTTTTTTATTTTTAATGGAGATTGTTGTTTTTCTATTTTTTAAGATTTTTTGGGAGTTTTTGTATTTGTCAATTTTTTTTTGGTTTAATTTTTTACCATTTTATTTATTTATATTTTTTTTTCTTTTATTATATATTTAGTATTTTATATTTTTAGAAAATTATAAATTATTTTATATATAAATATTTCATTATATTTTAAACTTATTTTGCTTTCTTTTTTTATCAAATTATTTGTATAATATTAATTTTAATTATCATCCAATAAAATTAATTTAATCACAAAATTATAATTAAAAATGGATAATTATTTTTTAATTATAAGAAGATTATAAATTGATTTTATTTGTTCTGCTTTTTTTATGATAATTTTTATTTATTCTAGTATCATATCATTTTATATTTATCTTATTAATATTAATTACAAATAAAAAAATTTATTATTTTTTTTTAAATATATAAAATAATATATTTTTGTAAATTTTTAGCAAGTATTAAATTTATTATAAATTATACTATTTTCATATAATTATTTTATAAAATAGTATTTAAATAATAAATACTAATATAAATCTATTATCTAATTAGTTATTTATATATGTAATAAAATTCTATATAAATTTTTTATTTGTGATAAATATTATGAAGAATAAATGTTTGTTTATAAAATAATAACATAAAGAAAAAAAATTAAAAATAAAAACTAAAATATGTAAATCAATTTTTTAATAACTGATTATAAAATAAATTATTTCAAGTACTTTTTTTTTTTAATAAAATAAAATAATATTATTTAATATATTAATAATATCTATTTAACTATTAAAATTAATTAAAAAATATAAATTATAATTTATACACTAAACTATAAATAAAAAAATAATTATATAATTATTATTATAAATTAAAAAAAAATATATATTTAAATTTATAACTAAGGCGGGGGAAAATGGTAATTTATAATCAAAACTTATCTTAAAAAAAAAACAATAAAATTAATAAAATACATTTTAAATAAAGGTTAAAGCTATAAATAATTAAATTTAAAAAACACCATTAATAAATAAAAATATAAGTAAAAGAAAATAATCTAAGTTAACAGAACTATTGACTTAGGAAGAATAAGAAATCCAAAAAATAAATAAAAAAAGTCATAATAACATTAATAATAATTTAAAATAGGAATAGTAATAAAAAATAATCTAATATGAAGATGATGAATTATTATAAGATTATGAAATAGAAGATGCTTTAAATTAATAATAAGAAAAAAACTAAGAAAAAATAAGTGAAATAATAAGCAATTTATTATTTAAAAATGTAAAAAAAAATGAATATATATATATATATATATATATATATATATATATATATATATATATATATATATATATATATAATAAATTAGAATATATATATGGAAATATATATAATGTTTATAAATAATATATATATTATTTTTATTTATATTTAAGACTATTTATTATTAGAAAATTTTATTAATAAAAAAAAAATTAAAACAAATTTATATAATTATCATATTTTAATAAATAAATTATTAAATTATTACGTTGTATATATATAAATAAATATAAATAAAATAATTATTATATATATTTATATTTATATATATATTTATATTTATATTTATAATTATATTTATATTTTTTTTATAAATTTTATATTATAATATATACATTATATTTATTTTTTATAAGAAAATTAATTAAAAAAATGCCTTTGAAGTTCCTCTAGTAAATTTATTAGATTCAGTTGATTTCCAAAGTATTATATATTTTTTTTTTAATATTATTTTAATTAAAAGGTAAAGGTGATGTCGCATGGAAGAAATTATCTTTTAATCTTGATTCAAATGTTAAAATTTACAGGTTTTTTTTACATTATTTAATTAATAAATTATTTTAATATTTTTGATTTATATTTTTTATAGTTATCGAGTCGATAATCTTCATAATCATACTTTTAAAGTAATAGGAGGATTTTAAAGGACTGAAAGAAATGATAAAGAAGAAAAAAATGAAGAAAAAGACTAACAAGGAGATATTATTTAAAATAAAAAAATTATTTCTAAAATAGGTTAGGGAGAAAAGACTTTAGAAAAAAATATATAAAATATTAATGTTAATAAATATGATTTAGAATTCGATGTTGATCCTCTTTTTTCAAAAACTTCATCTAAATTTGATAATTAAACAATAAGAGGTCTTTTATTGAATAGTTTATAGGTTTTATAATTAGTATATTTATTTATTTTATATTTTTTTTTAAGATTGATTAAAATGTTGGATTGTTGTTTGATAGTAGTGGATATTAAAAATAAGAATAGATAGAAAAGAAAAAATTTTATAATTTTTCTAATTTCTAAAAATGTTTAATTATATAAAATAATAAATATATAAATGATAATTTATTATTTTATAAAACATAAGTAAGTTAATAAAATTCAGAAAAAATAATTTTAGATATGTAATTATGTCAGAAACTTTAGGAATTTAAAGTATAATAATTATAAAAATATTAAATTAAAAATAATAAAAGGAAAATTCATAATTAATATCTGAAGAACTCTTTTATTAATAAACAAACTTTGAATAATAAGATGTTTTAGATAATAATTATGGAGTATATTAAGAAAATGATTCTGCGAATTTAAATGGAAAATATTAATAATATCCAAACCCTGAAAACATGAGTGATAAAAAAACCTTTAAAAATGAATAAGAAAAATTTAAGTTTTCTTTAGAAAATTATGAAAGGAATAAAAAATCAATTGAAAAAAATTGGGTTTTACCAGAAAATTGGGATGTATAAAGAAAAAAAGTAAAGTTAAATGAAAACGGATAATCTAAATAAAAAAAAAGCAAAAATCAAAATGAATTTTATATAGATTTTTCTTCGAAAATATAAGATAAAGTAGAAAACATAATGCTATAATAAAAAAATAAATAATTTTCTAAAAATTCTTATTAAAAAGAAGTTTTTATTTTGCCTATTGATTTTAGAATTTCTAATAAAATGTATTTTTTTTAATTTTAATTAAATATTAATTATATTTTTAGGTTTGAAAAATTTTACCTAAAGACATAAAATTAAAATAGCAAAACCCAGGAAAATAATAATAACCATGGTGATGATACATAAAACTTTTATTAAGAAATTAATAATGATTTTAATGATGTTATTAATAACGAATAACTAATTCTATAAGAAGATAATAATAATGGCAAAAATGGAGTACAAATTAAAAAACTTAAACATAATGTTTGGAAAAATGTACTTAATTTTTAAGAAAAAGTAAACTTCTTAGACGTATATAATAAATGCAATTAAAACAACTAAAATGTATCTTTATAAACATGTTTTTTGACTGTTCTACATTTAGCAAATGAATAAGGACTTTATTTAGATCAGTAAAAAATAGGCTTTAGCATTTTAGTTAATAAATGAATATACATATTTAATTAAATATGTAATTATAATTTTATTTTTTTTAAGAATAAACATCATATTTTTTAAAATATGTATATAATACTTTTTTTTTTTTTTTGGATATTTTTTTTTTTTAATATATTTTATTATACTATATGATATAAATAAAACAAAATGTGAAATTATTAAAAACTGTTAGTAATTTTTTTTCCTTCATTCTTTTTAAACTTTTTTAAATCAACAAATAAAAAAATAAAAATCACAAAATAAAATATTTTGGAATATCTTATTTATATTAAATTTTGCATCCAGCTATATGTAAAAGAGCCACAGCAGGCCAAATAGGTCCTTTTTTAAGAGATTCGGATTCAAATCCAATTCCATAATATTCACCATTAAGAGCAAATGATAATTATCCTTTTTTCATATTCAAAAAGACTCCCAAAACACCTTACTTTTTAAATTACTTTCCATATTGCTTTCCATTCGAATTATCCCCATGTCTTAAGCATCCTAGCCCATAATAAGCGAAACCAATATTAGTATCACAAAATGCAGTATTTAATTAAAATTAATTACTAGTACTAACTCCTATTTTAAGTTCATTCTCAGTTCTACTATCCATAGTAATTTCCCAATAATGAATTCCTTAATTAAAACTCTATTAAAAATATTTATTTAATTGATTTTTTTTTTAATTTTTTTTTACCTATTTACAAAGTGAAGATTTAAAAACATATTACTATTCTTATAAAAAAACTTAATTATTATCAATAACTTAAATACCAGTTCCACTAGTTTAAGGGTCCCACTATAGAACTATATTTTCGCTTAAATTTTAATTTTAATTTTATTAAAATAATGTTTAAAGTAATCCGTTTGCTTATTAAATAGGGGAAAACAAAGAAATAGATGCTTACTTTTATAAAACAACTTATTATTATTAAGGCAAACCATCAATATTTGGATAGTTTTTTAAAAAGAAGTTTTTTATTGATTTATACATATTATTATAATTAGATTAGTTATTCATTATTTCGATCATAAGAAGGCATTCAAGTTCACAAAAACCTTATTTTGATAAAGGATCATTTTGATTATTTGTAAGGCGTTTTTGACATATATCGTAATTTTGACACTTAGGAAATTAGCATATTTTTTCGTGTTGTAATATTTCTTTAAATTCAAATGATTCATAACAGTATACACATATTACTTATTAAGAATAATACTATTTTTATAAGTCTGGAGTTATTTGAATTATTTTAAATTATTAAGGACATCTATTCGGACATTAGTTTTCGTATTTGGGTTATTTTAGCCAGTCTTCTATACATTTAGAACAAAAACATTTTTAACATCCTTAGCATTGCCTTGGGTCTTTCGACATTTAAAAACAAATTAAACATTCAAATATTTCCTCATGAGTTTGAAATCGACGAAAATCATATATTGAGTTTGTCAATGGAACTGCTTTTTCTTAAACTATTTTGCATATTTATGTATGGTTTTCAATTATCTGAAGTTTGTATATTTTTTAACAGTATTAACATTTTACTTGAAGATTTATATATGTACATTCTAATTATTTGGATAGAGTTTATGTATTTTTTTAACAAGATAAACATTTGTTACTTTTTTTTTTTTTTTTTCAAAAAAACATTTTATTAATTTTTTTTTTTTTTTTACTTAAGTTTTTGTAATTCTAAACATTATTTACAATATATTCGATTACATGAATCACAGTTTTAAGGCATTTCTGCAAAATTAAAACATATCTAACAATCAAAGTTATTTTTGTAATTTTATATATCTAATTTATTTATTCGGGATTTTTTAAAAAATGATTATGTTATCATTTCTTTCTTTCTTTTTAATTTTCTTAATAATTTTTTTTTTTTTTCTTAAATTAATATTTTGTTTAGCTTTTTTTTTAAAAAAAAATATATATATAAATATAAATTTTAATATAATATATATTAAGAATGTTCAAAAATAAGAATAAATTATATAAATCTTTATATTCTTTTAATTTTTATAATTAAAAAAAAATATAATAGTTATTATTAAATAGTATACAACAAAATTTGTTATTTATGAAAGAAAAATTAATATAAAAATATATATAGACATATAATTATAATATATATATATATATATATTTATTTATATATATAGATTTATATATTTTATTAAATCATTATAATATATAAAGTAATATGCTAAAATAAATTTAATAAAAACAAAAATTTATAAAAATAATATTTACTAAAACCTAAAAATAAATATTTAATTATAATAAAATAATATTATTTTATAAAAAAGCAATAGAGAATGGAAAAATACTCTGAAGAAATTGAAGAAGAAGAAGAAGAAATTTCTGTACAAGAAATGCATTTTAAAAATATAAATAAACTTCATTAATCAAAAGAGGCTCACTCGAAAAAAGAAAAGGCCAATATTATTGAAAGCAATCCTTTTACAAATAGCACATGCGTACCTGAAAACCAAAAACCAATAAATTTTATTTGGTATTAAAATCGTTTTGATACAAATTAAGAAGCTATGGATATCCTAGAGCAGTACTAGGATAAAAATATAGCATTTGTATCTATTTTTGGAAGAAAATAAAGCGGGAAAACCACATTAGTGAACAAACTTTTAGATGTCGATAAGGGGGTAAACATGAAAGTATTTGAAAATTCTTAATAAAATGCAAATTTAAGTAAATTTTAATAAAGCATATTAATTTGGCCAAGACCATAATATAATAAAAAAATGGATCTTTACATTTTTTTTTTGGAAAACGAAATATAAACGGATTAAAATAATGAAGTCGAAAATCGAATTGGGACTTTTTTGTTATTAATTTCGAGTTTTTTTGTATTTAATTTTGTAGGAAAAATTGATGAAAGCTCTTTAAACGAATGCAAGTTTGTATGTTCTTTGATTAAATATATACCCAAAAATGAGTATGGAGAATATATGTAGGAAAATATGAGTTAAAATTATATTCCTAGTGTTATTTGGGTGGTAAGAGATAGTAATGAACGGGTAAATGAAATTAAAAACAAAAATAATGGAAATTTTAATAGTAATTAATATTTGAATGCTTTTTTTAGTTGATTAAAAAGATAAAAATGATTTTAATAACAAAATTAAGAATTGTTTTTTGAATTATTTTAAGGATAAAGAATGTTTATTGATGAATAAGTTTAATTTATTTTATTTTATTTTTTTAAAAAAAGAATTTTTAATTTTTAAAATAATAAAAAAGTCTACATTCAGATGAAAACTAAACTTATAATTAACAAGAATTTTCGGAATAAATAAATAATTTGAGAAAAATAATTATTTAAAAAACAGAGGAAAAACATTTTAATGGAAAAAAACTTAATTTTAGAGCATTTATTTAACTTATAAACTTATTTGTTAGTAGTATGAACCAAAAACAAACATAATTTAACCTTTATAACGCATGGTAAAATATAATTTATAATGAATGTGTAAGAGGGAGGGATGAATGTGCTTTTATTATCGAAAATGAATATAAAAATAGATTTTAGAATTCAAAAAATGCATTAGATTTTATTGAATTATATGAAAATATTAGTAGTATTAGAGATATAATATTAGAAAAATACGACTCAATAGCCGGGATATAAGAAAAAAATCATTATTATACTTAGTTCAGAATAGAACTAATATCTATGCTAGAATAAAAAGAATAGGAAGCTTTTTTAAACAATGAAGATTAAGCAAGTTCAGAAAACGATGTATTAATAAAAGTTTACGGGGAAAAAGTAAAGAATAAGATTTATTAATAAGAATATTCACATAATAATATAAAAGAATATATTGATGACTTAGATGCATTTTTGAAGGATTATGAAAAGAAATCTGTTGGAACAAAAAAAGCGGAAAATTTAACATAATGCCTTTAATAAATTAATGATGGGTTTGTTAAATTACTTGTTAATTCAATTAAAAAAGAGTTCGAGTAGAAAAATATGAATAAAGAATAAAAATAATTTACTTTCATTTAGTAAGAAGAAAAATTTTAATAAGAAATAGATTAAACTAATAAAAAAATATAAGAAATTATTGATAAAGTAATATTTTATTATTAATTTTAATTATTATATATTGCTCTCTCTTTTTTAAAGAATAATTATTTGGAATTAGAAAAAAAAAGACTAGAAGAAGAAAGAGATAAAAAATAAAAGTCTTTAAATTAAAAGAAAGAAGAATCTAATAATATTTAGTATTTATATATAATATATATATATATATATATATATATATATTGTATATTTGAAAATAGAAAAAATATTGGAAACGATTAAAATGACTTAGAATAATAGTTAAAAAATAAAGAAAAGACTATTAAAGAATTAAAAGATAAAATTAATGTATTTTATATATTTTTATTAACTATTTATTATATTATAAATTTAGAATCTTAAAAGAAATAAAAGTAAGGGGTGTTTTGGAATTTGAAAATATTATATTTCAAACTAATTAGATTTGTTCATAATTTATAAATTATATTTATAAATACTACTTAAAAGAATTATTTATTTTTTTATTTAATAGTATTTTTTTTTTTATAAATTATTTAACTCAATTAAAATATACTTTTTTATTTAAATAAGAATATAATAATGTTATATATATTTTCTAATCATTGTTTATTATCAAAAAAATATTTATTCAAAACAATTCTAATATTAAAAGTAAATAATTAATTATAAAATATGGATATAATAAAAAAGAATTAAAAAAAAAATAATAAAAATTAAATAAAAAAAAAATAATAAAAAATAGAACATATAGATTTTACTAAAATAATACTTCCTGAAAGAAGTTAAAATATAGAAAAACCTATAGTATGTTTTAAAGGAATATAAATGTATTAATCAGATATAGATAAATGTAAGAGAGGCTTTTTACTAAATGATAAATTAATAGATTTTTATATTGAATATTTATTGCAAAAATATAATAAATAATAATATAAAATATTACCATCTTACGTATTTTCATCTTTAGATTAATATTAATATGATCCAAACATTTATGATTTAGAAACCCCTTAAGATTATTTTAGAGAAATGGACAAATAATAAAATATTTAATATAGTATTTTAGAAAAATACGAGAAAATATTTTGTGTAATAAATATAAAAAATTTCCATTGGAGCCTTATATCGATAGAGAAAAATAATTAAATTAATAATATACATATAAAAATTTATGATAGTCTATATATATAAAATGATTCAGTATTTATTTTTTAATAAAGCTTTTTTAAGAAATGAAATTTAAGATTTATATATTTTAAATGATGATGAATTATAGATAAATGTTTAATCTATAAATACTCCCAAATAAAGTGGAAATCCAGATTGTGGAATTTTCTGTTGTAAATATTTGGAACATTTATATTAAGATGGTAATAGTAATTAATTTAAAAATGAAGAATTTACTGATAATAAAATAAATGAATTTAGATTTTAATTAGAAAAATTAATAATTAGTTATGAATAATGATCTTTTTCTATTTAATAATAATAAAAATATAATAATGTTTGCCTTATAGTTATAATCATTCAATATTATTTTCCATCTTCATTCTTTATATATTTGTTTTTTATTTATATATTTTAAATATATATATTTATTACTTTCTTATCATTCTTTCACATTCCAATAAATAATCCATATCAGAAGCTTAAGTACTATTATCATCATTTAATTTATTTTATTCAAAATTTACATTAAATTGTTTTTTGATACTTTTTTATTTACATTCAAAATCTTTTTTATTTTTCTTTTGTTCGCTTTTGTTCTAACATTTATAATCTGAATTATTATTACTGTTAAAATTAATTAACTAGCTATTGTTTTTTTCTTATATATCTTAACTTATATTACTTTAGTTTATTGAATTGAACTAATTTTCTTAATTTTTTTAAGAAACAAAAGTTGAAAAAAGTTGGTTTTTTTCTTCTTATTTTTAATTGAAGATTTCTTGATTTCCTAATAGTTTAGTGTTTTCGAATTCTTAATCATATTATTAAATAGCTTATTATAAATCTATTTTAAATTATGCTAGTTATTATTATTAGTGGCTTTATTTATTTTTTTCTTCTTTTTATTTAAAAATAAATTAAAGAGTAAAAGAAGCTGGAATTACATGAGAATTTAAAACATTTAAAACTTTTAATTTATTTAATTCATTATTTTACATATATTTTATTAAAGACAATATTTTCCATTAAATTTTTAATATTTATTTATCAATTTTTTCAACGTATTTTTATATAAAAGTTGCAAGCATATTTTATTCGTATTTTTTTTTACTTTTTTCTTGAATATTTTATAATTCGATTTCATCTTCGTAATATTTTTATATTTATTCCATAAAAAATTTAAATATATTTATTTTTCGCTCTTATTTTGCAAGTTTTTGTTACATAAATGACATAAATGTATTTTGGAAAACCTATTTAAATTTATATATCTATATTTAATTTTATATATATATATAATTTACTATATTCATAGTTTAATTTTCTTCAGCAAACTCAAATAATTTTATTATTTAATTTATTATGATATCAGCTTTTTTTTTATCATATTTTTTGTCATTTAAAAAGTCTGCTATTTTACTTTTTTCTATAATTAAATCGTTTTTAATTTATTCTCTGTTTATTTAAAAATAATCCCAAATAAAAAGCCTAAAAATTTCAGCATTTTCGGCTCTATTTTTTAATATTTCAACAAATGTATTTGCAATTAATTCTATGTTTACTATTTATTTGTTTTTTAAAGTTGTACTAATAAACTTTGATATTTAAATCCTTTGAAATATTTTATTTTCTCTTTAATTCATTAGCTATTATAATTCGCTTTGGAATTCAGGATATCCGTCAATTTTTTATTACTTTAACTATTCTTCGTCTTCATTTAAATTGAGAATATTTTAAAGTAAAAAATGATATTTTTCCTTATTTTTTAAAAAAAGGTTAAAATTTTGTATTTTTTTTTGTTAATTTACACACCAAAAATCAGCATCTGCTTTCAGCTTTGCATTTATTTATTTAGCTTTTAATGCACTAAATTTTTATTTTATTTAGCTTTTCTCTCTATAATATTTATTAAAATTATAAATTAAAGCTCTCATTGAAATTTTATATTTATAAATAAGATTATCAAAAATACAATCGTAAAAAGAAGAGCATTAATCTATTAAAATTTATTTGTTTTAGTTTGTACTAGCAAGAGATAATATAAATTAAGTTAATTCTTATAAATTAACTATTTTAATTAAATAAATATTTATTAAAATAATATAATTTTTATTACATAATATTTATTTTGTATCGAAAATTAAATGTTACTTTAATGCATATTCTAAAAAATATTTTTTAAGTCATGAATTTAATAACTATTAGCCAGGAGTAAATGCTTAATCATTTTATAAAAAGAAAATATAGTTTAAGTTTTTCTCTTTTGATAAGTTTTTATATGTAAAAATAAATTAAAATAAAAAATACTTATTATTATAAGTAAAATTCTTCTCTTTATTTTGGGCTTTATAATTATAGTTATTTTTATTATTCTTTTTTTAATAATTCTCTATTATTATTATTTACTTTTTTTGAATTCATATTATTGCTTTTATTCCAGTCAACTGGATGCATATATTAATATTTGGATAATTCCTCTTTTTTTAAAAAAAATGACATACTATTTTATTTTAAATATATACCTTCTGTTAATGTTTCTTTTTCTTTTATTGTTAGCTTTTTATTTATTTTTGTTACATAAATATAAGGATGAGATATATACATAGGTAATTCTATTTATAAATTTTTATCATCAAAATGTTCTTTTAGAGTTACGTTTACACTTTATAAAATTTCAATCTTATTATTTTTTTATTTTTGTTACATAGTTTCTTATATTTTATTTCCTGTTATATCAATATCTGCTATTTTTCCTTTATGAGGAATTGTTGGAACGGATATTATTTGTTTTTGTTATTCTATAAATTTCTGCCTAGATGTATGTATTGGATTTATTACCCCTAAAACTATATGTTCGAATCGCTTTTTATATTCACTTTTATCAATAATAAGTTTTTAACCAATAATTTGAATTTCTGACATATTTTTTTTAATTGTAATTGAGATTATTTGTTAAATAAAAAATTATAAATAATTCAAAATGAATTTTAAAATTTTAAAATTATAAAATAAAATTATTAGTTAATATTTTTATTTGAAATAAAATATATTAATTATACTAGTTTTTATATTCTATACTAATATATTTTCAATTTAGATTTTAATTTGTTAAATTTGTAAATGCTTATATATAATAGCCTTTATTTATATTATTTATACCTAATATTTAACTAAATTAACAGTAGAATTAAATTAATTATTTAATATATTGATGATTTTAATATAATATTTATATATAAATATGTAATTTTTATATTTTATAATTTATCATGAGTCCATTGTGAATTTTTTAGGAGGAACATAATACATAGGTAGATGATTTTAATTTTCCCTAATAAAGTCTAATATTCCTTCCTAAATAAAATTATTTATATTTAAATTTAAAAAAATAAAATACTTAAATTTATATAATAATTTCAGGACTTATTTAGCCTCTAATTTTTTAGAATAATTCTTAAACTAAGAATTATCCTGATTTAGCATGTCTTCCGATTTCATCCAAAATACTTTAAATATTTTAAGATTTCTAAATATCAGTTTTAGTGATATATCTGAATTCACTAAACCACTCATGATAAAGGCAAATAGCCCAATTTTCACTCAAAAATTCAACAATGTTAGGAATGAGATTATTTTTATATCTTACATCTAGTTAATTAAGATACTTTTCTGAAAGTCCTACAAAAGAAACTAAACTTTAAACAGAAATAGGTTCACTTCCCTAATTTTTTAAAAATATTTTTTAAATATATTAATTTTTCTTTTTTACAAAATAATTAATTTCATCTATAATTCCATAATTATCAAATTTAAATCTTATATAATGTCCTTAATTAGTTTCTTAATCAATACTATTACATACAATATCTTCTCTATTATTTTCAGCTTCCATAGTTAAAAGTGGTCTTGCATAATCATTTTTTTTAATATTATAATAATATTATTTATTTGGTAAGAATGCTCCTATTCCAATAGGCATATAAAGATTTGGCAATTCGCCTAAACTGTAAATTTAATCTGTTAAATATCCCAAATCAAGTCCATCAAGGAGACATTTTGCTAATTTTTATCCTAATTCTCTTCCATTATATCTTTAAAAAAAATGCATTTAAAGTTTTTATTTAAAAAAAAAAAAAATACTTATCAAGTTTCAAGGATCTACCTATAGACAGTCTTTTATATCTTTATGAAAATTCGCATATTTTTCCACAACAAAATATGTCTTTTTCGGTAGTTTAGAAGTTTGATTTGACAATAAGTCTTCCATTATAAACAAGTCCGTTTTCATGAATTATATAAAATATTTCTTTATCAATATCTACAAGTCCTGAAGTGATTAAGAACCTGGAATTAATTTCGATATCATTATATTTTTAGGCTTCTAATTGTTCGATTTCCTATTCTGGAGTAATAATAATATTTCCGTCTTCTTCTCCTCTACTTAAGTTATCATCTATGTCTTTATAATTTTCATTTTCGTTTTATCTTTCAAGAATTTCTTATTTTTTTTCTGCAATTCTTCTCTCTATTTCATCAAAATCATCTGATTTTTTCCTAAAAATAACAGTTTAACAAGCCTTAGTATACTCATCAACTTAAATTTCGTGTAAACCGAAACCTCTAAATACGTTAATTCCTAATTTTTCCATCATTTAGAATACCATTTCTTCTACTTTTTCGTCATTAAAAGGCTCTGGATCATTAACTCTTTTGTCTTCATATTTTAATCTATCTGTATTATTTTTAAACTTGGTTTCTATTTCATAGACTCTTTGAGGAATCACATAATGAATTCTTTTTGGAGCTACACCTCTATTAAGCATTCCAGAAATAAAGGCAATTGTATGTAAAGTTCTTCCATAGACAGTTATATTTTATGGTCTTTTTCTTCTTGTTAAAAGGTCTATATTGGAGTCTTTTTTTCCTGTTTTTTTAAAGTGATCGTATATATAAGGATCGTCAATACTATATACGCCATTAATATAATCTCCATAAACAGGATGCTATTCATTTGAGCCCTCGTATTTTTCCACAAGATGTTAATAATAAGGGGAAGAATATAGTCCTGTAGAAATTAGTCTTCTTTTTTCATTTTATAATTCTGTATCTATTAACCCTACTGTACAGACTAAATAATCATAAGGTAAATCTGCATTTTTGTCGAGTTTTATTTTTTTGCCTTTTTTATCCAAACCAACCATTTTTGCATCTAAAACATTCACTCTAGCATCCAACATTAAGTTTCTTAATTCTTCCATTGTATAGTCTGTTGATAATGCTTTTAGTTGATCCCCAGGATTTTATATGTGCATTGTTATTAAACCACCGGGTGCTAATAAGGTTATATGAGTAAAGTTAATGTCTTTTATTGATAATAAACTTTCTATGAAGGATATTCCTGTGTCAGAGGCTCCTACTACTACTATTCGGGAATTATTTGATATTTTTACACCACTTAGTTGCTTTTTTGTTATCATTGATAATGAGAATGGAGCTTGTTCTTAATCAAAAGCATCTCTTTGGCCGTCTTGGACTTCGGTCAAGTCACCTGTTCGTTCGAAATGTTCTTTTTCGTGTTCGAAATCCCATTTTCTCTTAAGTAAATGAGGGAATGTACGCACACGAACGAATACTAATTCATTAAAAACATCAGGAAGTAATGTTCGTTCTTAGACTTCGAAATACATACAAGTCTTTTTTTTATTTTTATTTTTTCGTTAAATATATTTCTTTTTACTTTATTCATTAAACGTAGGATTTCTTTAAGAATAAATCTTGTACATTTAGAAAACAAAGGATTAAGTGCTGTATGTATCAATTTAGTGTGGTAAGTCATGGGATGCTCTTTTAATATAATATGATCTTGAACACAAAAATGAGATATATAAAAATCTAAATTAACGTTTTTAGAAACTACATATATGCCAATTAACTTTTTTTTATTAAAAAAATTAAAATATAAAATAAAAAATTACTGCTTAATCACAAAAGACAGAAAATGCTACTTTTCTTGAAACTGTTTATGTTATAGCTTCAAAAGTGTCAGCATAAACCTAATCTTTGTTAATAAGATTTGAAAATAGAAGGTCGACATTTTACATATCTTCTAGTTTGCTTTTACGGATAAATATAGAATTGCTTAAAAGTGCATCTTTGTGGAAAATATATAATACGTGGTCAAATGTTGAGTTCTTTTTCATTTGAATCTTTATAAATTGCTATAAAAGTGTTGTTTCTGGACATGTAAAAGGTTATGTAAGTATTATATAGTCTCTATCTTGGAAAATATTAAATGCATATTCTACAAAATCTATTGATCTACTTTCGAAATTCTCGTCTACACAAAAAAGATTGATAACAATTGCGTTTTGAGCCTCAGGTGGTACTTCAGGTATACTTTCGAGATCTAAAAGGTTTTTAACATAATCATCATAAGGAGTTGACTTTCTTAATATCTATATATATAATATTAATTTTATTTATTAATATTTATTTTATATGATATAAATATTATAAAGTTTTTATATATATTTGTTAATAATTACTTATCTTCTTTTTTATTTTTATTATTCTTTTAAATTTTCATCTTCAATAATTTATTAGACCTCTTTTTTTAAACTTCCACTTTTAGTAAAGTTTAACCTATTCATCATTTAATCAAAAGACTTCATTTTATGAATTGCATCAAAAAATTCTATAAAAGATGTTTTTTTTAGAATTTTGGGAACAAACTTTTATTCTTATTATTCATTTCCGAATTTTTTTGTATTTTTCGTATTCTTTTAATCTGGATCTTCTTTAGGAACTACCATTATAGTTTCCGTTTCATAAACAATTTCTCCAAAACATTCAAGAAAAGAAGCTAAATTCTCACATACTTCTTAAGGAATATCCATATCTTTTATATATTTTGTTTTAAATTTAGATTTTTTTAAAAAAAAGCTTATATAATTTACTTTTAGCATTCAAATTTGAACCTAATTCATTTAAATCAACATGTCTTTCTTCTTTCATTTCTCCGTTTTCATTACAGAACATTATTTTGATAAATTTTAAGTTTTATTCAACTTTTTATCTAAAAATAGTTCTTCCTTCAGAAACTACAGATACAAATTTTTTAAATGCATTTTAAAATGGAGATAAATCAAAATAAGAGGGAGGTTTAAATTCATCTTCTTTTTTCTCTTCTTCTTATTTCTTTTTAACTCTTTTAGGAGCTTGTTATTTCTTTTAAGGCCTTTTTAAACTTGCCAAACGCTTTTCTTCCATTTTTTTCTATGCCCAATCTTTCCAATGACCATTTCCATTCATATAATTGCGTGGGAGTCCATAAAATTATAAGGATTAAATCAAAAGTTATCGAGGACTCAAAATAATACTTTATATTTCAGGGAAAACATCAGGATTTTCAAAAAAAAGGGAGGAAGGATAATGCAATTAGAATTCTATATTTTTATAGATAAAATATTTAATATTTAATAAATAAAATTATTTTTTTTAAAATATAACCTTATAACCAATTATCTATCAAGTCTTCAACTATTTTTTTAGATAAAACTTTTTATTATTCCTCAGAGGCTAAAATTTCTTCGATTTTCATAACTATTTCAGCTTCTTTATCTTTACAAAATTATTATAAAGTCATTCTTTAACCTATTAAATGACTTTTCATTCTTTCTTGATTCATTAGCATTAATTTTTCTTAATTTTAATCTTCTTCTTTAAATTATTATTCTCTACGTATATCATCTCTTCGATTTAATATAGCTTCCATAAATTCAGGTTTAAATAAATTATCGTATGTTTCTAATTCAAAACATTAGGCAAGAAAACGATAACTATAAATATATATAAATTAAAATATAAAAAAAAAGTATATATGTATAAAAATATAAAAAAAAATTAAATATATATAAATAGAGAGATAAAAATATATAAATAATAATTAAAAATTTATATATAAATATAAATATATAATTATATATAAGAAATATTTATATATATATATATATATATATATATATATATATATATATTATTTTAAGAAATTCTTTTATTTTTTATTACTCTATGTCTGTAGAAATACTCATCAATCCTACCGCTTTATCCCTTACTTAACCTACTATTGCTTTTCCATTATTTTTGAATTTTTTAGTTATTCTTCTTGTAAGATTTTATGTAGCTATTAAATCTGCTATAAAGAATTCACCAAACTAAGTAGTTAATACTTCACTTTATTTATTGAAAATTTCTGCTAAATCATCATGATCTTATTCTCTTGCCATTCTTATTTCCATTATTTCGGTGCATGAATTTTTAGGTGAATAATAAATTTCTGATTTATTATGTATTCCTCTTACTCCTTTTAATCTATTTTTATCCTTAGCTGGAATATTAACAAAAAAATTATCTAAAATATCATAAATATAAGATTAAGCTAATTCATTTTCAATCGATTCTCCTCTTTTTAAAAAAAGAATACTTTCTAATTAAGGTAAAGTTGCATATACATTTTAAAAAACTTTTTAACAAGCATAAAGATCTTCTTTATTTTAATAATTTAAAAGTTCCTTTGCTATTTTTTTATTTAAAATTATTTAATATTATATATATTTTTCGTATTAATTATAATATTTTTCTTACCAACAAAAAAATATGTCATCCATATTGTATTATATGGTGTTACACATATTTCTTCGTCAAAATCAAAAGCTTCAAACATCCAATGTTCCCAAAAATTTTCATGTTAAAAATCTATCATACCTGTAAGTCCTTAAGGGTAATCATTAAATACAGCACATCCAATAATTTTTTATTATTAATCTAAAATAGTTACACTTAAAAAGCTTCTTTCAAATAAGTTTATTAAATTAGGATAATCATATAATAGATCGTTTGCTTCTCTTCCATTTTATGTTATTAGTTTTCGTATTTCTTCTATATCGTCTAAATCACTTTTGCGAACTAAAACTTAAAATTCTTACTCTTCGCCATATATTGTACCACTTTGGTCATTATTTCTATTGTAATTTTACTGCGATTCTTAATGGACTAATTCTGATTGATTTTCTTGATAACTCATTTTTTATTTTATTTTTTTTATAATTATTTTGTTTATTTTTGCAGTTTTATTTTTTTATTTTTTTCTTTTTGTTTTTTAATATAATTGTAATTTTTTTTGTTTTGTTTATATAAATCTATTTTTTTTTTTTCGTAATTTGTTATTTTATTTTTATAAAAAAAAATTATATCTGTTCATTTTAAATATATTTTATATTCGACATTGTCAATTAATAAATTAATAAAGTTATTTTAAATTATTATTTCTTCCATTTTTTATACTTGGTTTAGTTTTATAATTTCTTGAGTTGCATTTTATTGAATAAACCATAATTAATTTTCATCTTAAAAAAAGACTTTTTTTCCTTAAATCTATTAATCTTATATATTCTAAATTTTAATAAAATTATCTTCAATACTTATATTTATTTAATTTCCTTCAATATTTTGTATTTAAATTATTTGATTAAAACATTAATAAATGTCTCCATTTTATATATATTATTAATTTTTACATAATAATTCTTTAAAGAAAAAAAAAGAATGGTTTAAATTTTAAACTACATATTATTGTAAGTCATTTTTTCCCAAAATGAATGCGTTTTCAATTAAATCTTCAGAAATTTCACTCATTTCAAAATCTCCTTTATTATTTTTTCCAAAAAATGCTTTTTCTATATAAGGCTTTATTAGAAATCTTTTATTTATGTCTTTATTGTTAATAAAAATATGAATACTTTTGTCTTCTTCAAATTTAAATATAGGTACTTTTTCATCTGGATTTTCAATTAAATTATATAAATCCTTAATATTTATTTAATTATTTAATTTTAAGAAAAAAACATCACATTCTTCTATATCAATAATATTATCTTGTTTATAATCAATGATATTTTTTAAATAAATCAGTAATTATTTATTATTAATTTATATTTTTGTTTAATCGAAAATAAATGAATCAAAGCTTTTCTCAAATTATTCCCATAAAACTAATTAATTTTCCTTTCCTATGTATTAATTCCAGAACTTTTCACAGTTTTTACTTTTAAATTCCCATTTTTTTACATAATTTACATTTATTTCTAAATTAAATTCGCACAAAGAAGCTAACTCTTATAATTTAATTATATTTTCTTGATTATCTTTATTTAATTTCAAAAGTTCCTGTAATACATCAAATAAATAATTATTTATTTATGTCAAATTATTTATTTCGTTGTTGTTATTTATAAATTATGTAAAAATATTCATATAACTCTTATCTAATATATTTGTTTTTATATATTCAGAAAGCTTTTCGTAAATACTTGTAACTTTAATATTATTATTATTTTAAGGAAAATATTATTCTAATAAATTAATGCTTTAAATTATTTAATGATATTTTAATTTATCTAATTATTATATTTAAACTTTTAAAGATTTCATTAAAGAAATTATAATATATTTTATAAAAATAAAAAATGTTTATTTTTATTTGAAATATAAATATAAATTTATAAAAAAAAAATATATAAATTTAAAAAATAAAATATTAAAAAAAAAAATATATAAAAATATATAATAATATAAAAAGATTATATAAATTAATATTAATATAAAAAAAAAATATGTATAAATACAAATAGATAAGAAATATTATATAAAATAAGTATAAATATAAATATATATATTATTATAAATAAATAAATAAATATTTA